TTGTCATTTATTAGAGATGAAGCCAAAGTTTAGATCCCATCGCCGAGCCCGTTAACGCTGCTTAGGCGATTACGCTGGTGTATCACATGCGAGACAACGAAATTCAGTGTTTCTTAATGTCTTCTTGTTTCTCCCTCGTCTCGTTAACCAACCTTCACGCTTTACCTCCTACATAGTGGATCATCAATACCACATTCCCCTTTTCTACACTTGTTATTTTCTGGGCTGAGCTCAATTTTCCAATTCCTTTCCCTTATCAATCTTCATGTCATGACAGCCAACCGGTACGCGCCATAAAACTGTATATTTTGAGGAAACTTCTTCCAACACGTCCGTCTTCATGTTTGAATTACTGAAACTGATGTTTCTACATTTCCCGGTATCTGACTGCATCATCTCGTCCTGTACCGCCCGCGTTATCACATCAGCCGCGCCAGCAAGTTGTCTACATTCCCTTTATCGGTACGACCCAATCAACTCGAGGCCACATAACTGTATTTCGTAGCAATTGGTGCCTTCCCGCGAAATTGTTTTTGAACGTCCTTTTTTCGTGCTTCCTCCATAATCACCACCACCCGCATGGCGCACTGGCTCACAAACCCAATCGACAATTTTATGCAAGCGCCAGATTTTCATATCATTCTTGGAGTATCCACGTGTGGAGACTAATTCGTTTGCCACAACCTTAAATAAGGTACATGCAGGCTGTATTGTAACATGCAGACATGAGGGTGGATGTACGAACGATAAATTGTTTACATTGCCTGATTACTATTAAATTTATTGATGCAAGGATGGTACTGTTAATCGATATATCACCAAGAGGTCAGTAATTAGTAAGTTCTGTTTGTTTTTTTTTTTCATTTTCAATTTGCTTTCGTATAACTCGCACAGTTTAAGTGATCTCCAATATTTCTATTTATTAGGTTCATCGTACAATCAGTAAATTCGCACAATGTTGGTGACGCTCGTTATATCTGACAATAGGAGACTTCATTGTTGCCACATATTGATCACATGCATAGGGCCAAATAAACAGTCGGACTGCGAGCTTAGATCATGGCATTGCAATAATTTTTCCAAAAAGTCTTTATTATAACATAATTAAAGAATATACACATTCCGTATCCTCTCGTGAATAAGCACCCCTTGATTACCACAACCCTTCCCCCACAAACAGTTTATTACATAATGACAGGTAATTATAAAATCTTTTTATACCGATAAAGAAGTCTTCATTAATGGTTTGCGTAATAAGGTTAAGACATTTAAAGTAAACAAATTTACATTACTATAGAGAACCCCCTAAAGTTTATCGTTTATGTGATGGTTGCCGATCATTTGAAGGGGGTGCTTGACGGTTCTACGCGCACGCACTCTATTGTTTCGACGGCTTACGAGAGGGACACGGTATTTTAATATTAAGATGAGGATGTTCGTTTCGTTAAGTCACATTTCCCGGATTTTGAATGGAAACGGTGCTTGATGTTGACGCGGCCGTTCAGGAGGTTTTGAATAGACATTGGATTGTACGGTTCTTGCATTGAAAGCAGTATGGATAGACCGTCAATCGTATTTTGATTTCGTATGATGACTTGTAAACCGATGCATATTCTCTCCTTGACTGCAAACTATATCAAATGTTGGAAAATAAACAATTAGTGTACATGTACACACAGATGTATAATCAAATGAATTTATGTAGCATACCGAATGCAAGTCGCAAAGAGCCATAAACGAACCATGTTACGTGGTCATCGAACGCGGGAAGAGGCGATTTTAAAAGACTGGATAAAGTTTGTTTTCGATGGACAATTTTTGACGAGGCAAATAGATGCCTGCTTTATAAGAAACCCAAATGACGGATTTGGGGCTATGCACAGAACTTTTAGTGCTATACTAAGTACATCAGATTACGTGTTAAAATTTTTGATGTCGAACAAATGATAATAACGATGCATATGCTATTGTTACGTTCCCAACGATCAATACTACGCATTTTGTTCTTGGCCATGTATTGGATGGCGTGCTCATTTGCGCTAGCAATATATAGAAAGACAAACGCTATCAGCTTGCATCATCAAATTTAAAATGTCTTGGTAATACGATACAAGCTTCCTCTGCTCGAATAGCATTTTTTTCTCAGAAGATGAGTGCATATTAATTATCCCAAATATGATTAACAAAGTCTTAAAAAAAAATCATGTTATCCTTTTGCACAGAACCTGCTCAATAGAATTTTACTTTTTTGTCTTTTTTTTCACAAGCGGCTATGTTATCAGCTATCTACAATAAATTAATAAAGTTTGCTGCGGATAATTCGAAGCAAGAGGCGTCTTTTTCACGAGCAATTGTTCTCTGCGGATAAATTCGGTAAATTATAAAGCAAAATGACGTTACGTTTTCACAAGCAATTACAGTGTTGAATTCTAAACAAGTCATTTGGAACATGAGTCATACTTACTCTGCAGTATCGTTGTCTATTTGACATTTTCTATTTGTTCGTTGGTCTTTTGGGGGAAGTGGTTACGTTATCAGTATCTAAAATAGAATCCTTAAAAATTTTTTTGATAAGCCAAGCCTTTTTTTGTATATTGAATGGGCATTTTATTACTCCGTTTGTTGCTTTTCACAAGCAAGTGCAT